CTAGCCAGAAAAACACACCAAACGCACTGTGATCATTATTGCACAAAAAAGGTCTTTTTTTTCTAGGTCAGTCAAAAGCGTACGGAGCTATGAACTCCACAGTCTACTAGCTTCCCATTATCTATAAGGACATAATTATCTCAACATTTTTACCCTGTACTTCACTCAGTCACGAATAATTTAAAAAGATTAACAGTCAAACATTTCCAGTTACTACTCTGTTTACATAGCTCTCAAGTTGTCTCCCCCACGGAAGCCCCATCAGCAGCATCTGCAAGGGACCCCAGGGGGATTTTTGTGCTTTACTTTAAAGATTAACCTTTAAGCATAAGGTTTGCAACTTGATTTGAATATTAAAAAGCTAAAAGGCAATCATTGTTAAAACAAGCAAAACAAAATCATCAGGGTTTTTTAAGTGTCAATTTACATCTCTTGCAGGACTCCTCAGACACTTCGCTGGCACTGCTTACATTAATAAACAAGGCTTTGATGCCACTTAAGAATGTTTACTACATGTTGTTTCAGCAACAAATTAAATTTTTTTTCCTGGATCACCACAGTTAAAACCCTTCAGAAATAATTATTAACAATTAGACTATTATCTCAAAAGTGAGATGCTGGTACTTACTGGAGCACACAAGCAACGTTTTTCAGAAAACCCAGTTTGTCAAAGCCATTTACCACACTGAGCTCCGGACCCTGGGCATTTTCTTTGTTGCTGCACACAGAGAATGAGGCAACATTACAAAAGAAACATCATTCTGCTCAGACTGTTGGACAGAGAAGCAGCACCATTTGCAAACTAAGATTTCCTGTTGGGCTTCACAAGATCAAGAGCTGGATGTTTCGGATACACCTATTTTATCAGTACTGTGATGGCCTCAAACAAGCAAGAAAAGCAACTGCTTGCACTCCTTTCATGGTCCTTTAGGCAAGTTCAAAGCTTCAAAACTGCATTTGTGTCTCTAGCTGCATTTTTTGCATGCTGCAGTTTTTACCAGAATATTCTCACGTTGCACTGTTCTACCAACCACACTACAAGGAAACGAGGCACAATATTGCTTTGTCAAAACTGTAACAAATCAGTGCCTTAAAACAGGATATTAAACAACACAGGCATTTTAATTTTCTTAATCTTTCAGGACATCATATAGACACAGTACACATAAAGTTTACATAGCTCTACAGTTAAAATAAATATTAAGACATTTCAGAAGAAAAATCTGATACATGACTACGGACCACCAGCCTGTTTTCCCTCTGTGGCACCACTTAAAACTGTATTTACGGACTAAGCTTCATTTGTCAGCAAACATCTTGAAAGGAAAACAATCATTTGGAAATTTCAGACCCACCCTTTGGTGTTCAACAGGCTTTACCTGGACAAATAAACATTAAAGCTCAGGTTGCTCTTAAAATCACAAGCCAGAATGACGTCAGACTGATGTTAGGCCGTAGTCTGTCGTGTATTTAAACCTGTACTGCTGAAAAGAAATTGTTTTCCTTTTCCATGCAGTATTAGCAGAAAAAAAAAAATTCAGCTGAATCACTCCCCCAAACTGGTTCACAACATAAGCTGCACAACCGCTTGTGCCAGCAAGGAGGGAGGGTAGAGAAGTGACAGCGAATGGGCACAAACAGCGAGAAGGGGACTGCTTTTTGGCAGCAGTGCCAGCTTAAATGCACATCAAACTATGGCTCTGAGCACAAATTCTTAGTAGTAGTTCACGCTGTAAGTAAATGGCCTCAATCATAAGAAAAACCACTAATAAAAAGCACAAATTCTGTAACAGAAAAGGTGAAGATCTCAAATGATTGAAGAGGATGACATTTGTTTTTCCCAGTTTAATAAAGAATTCTGGGGATTGTCTAGACTTTGGGAAAAGAAATTAACATCAACCTTGCACAAAAGATCATCACTAAGTACTCTATAAATACCTCAGAGAATGCAAATGATGACAGCAGCAGGAACAGAGTATCATCTCGGTGATCACCTCAGACTAGCATAAAACCTCGTGTTCAAGCTTGCTTGGTGTTGCAACTAAATATTCACTTGCAAGGAGTCATCATAAGATGTTAATTTGCATATAACACTCGACGTCTATTTGAGTAACAATTCCCAAGTCAGAAATTCAGTTGCCACAAGCACCAGAGCCGCTGTGGCGCAGACAGGCACTCCCCCCCGTGCCGAGAGCCCCCACCACCCCCAGTGTCCAAAGGACACGCCAGCGCCTCAGCGGGCCTCGCAAGCAACTCGGCTTGAGGGAAATCTCTTCCAGTTAATTTAAAACCTGACGTTTCAAACTCTGAAGAACACAGACAACTGTCATTCTGAAGATGAGAGCACCATTTTTGCTTTCTACAAATTCTCAAAGTAAGGTGTGGGTTTTTTCTCAGCTGGAAAATACCACAGTGACACTTTAAGTAACGTTCCTGCTGCTTCTATATCCGAGTAGCACCGTGTTCAGATGTTCCTCCCAATTTAGCAAGCCGGTACATTCACATGTGCAGGACAATGCTGCACAGCTCAAGTTTCGAAAGCAGAGAAGGCAAATCAGCCCCGCACAGAGCTGGAGGTGAGGTAAGGGGACTCCTACAGCTTGGCCACACGTCTCTGCGTCGCGCCCGGCGGGACCTCGGGAGCGGGAGCTGAAGTGCCCTCCACTGCCGCGTGGAACAGCCCGAGGAAGAACAAAGAAGGGGTGAGGGACAGGGAAGCACCCTAGGTTCCAACTAAGAAAACCCCGTTACAGAGAAGCAGCTCATGGCGTTCAGGCCCTGAGAGCAGGCAGCACCCGCTGCCTCACCATCAGGTACAGAAAAACCAGGACAGGGCTACAGGAGCATCGGGAGGGTTTTCCCTCAAGCCCAGCAGTGTACTTCACAGCACGGTGCCGCAGCATTACCATAAACAAATGGTTTCCCCTTTTATTTAACAGGTAAAACACCCACAGTAACTCTCGGTCTAATCGATATCCCTGACATCAACCTTGACGAGTTACACACACACGAAAAACCGAACAAGAAATATATTTAAAATTCCACACGTATCATCGGACTTCCCCTTGCTTTTTTTACATATAGCAGATCACCCAGTATGGTTTTAATCTTCTCTGCCCTGCTATTTTCTTTAATCACATACCTCAAAATTGTCTCTAACGCATAATATTTTGCCATTCTCAGGCATAGCATCCATTCCAATAATTATACTTCCAATGTTATTTTGGCTTATGACTTCACACACTGAGACAAATTTTCACAGACCTTCCATCAACACTGCCTGGTCTTCCCCCATCTCTCCTCCATCAGGCAGCCTGAGTTTAAACCAGCCAATATACACAAATTACAGTGATTTCCTTCCAGCCAGAATTGCCTTTCACGTATTAAAACACATAGGCCAGCAGAAGACAGATTCTTTTCACCAAGGGCCTTTGAGATCCTCCCGTTTCTCCAAGCACTAGGTCTGCTCTTTGGATGTGAGCGATTTGGTAAAGTTTCTGCTTTTCCCAAAATAATACATTCATGACCACGGCACAGTCCACCAGCTCTAAACAAAAACTGTGATTATGCAACATTTTCCTCACATGGCAAATGGCTACTGTGACTCCTAGGTGATTCAAGTTTCACTTCACAGTTCCTCATAAAAACTCAAGCATACATCCAAACCCCAAGCACATACATTAAATATTTTTACTTGCTCTTCTAAGGCTAAAAATAATTAAATTGTTTTGGTTTTGGGAACTGAACCATTTCATTCTAACATTTTTTTCCAGGTATTTTAAAAACCAGCACTTCTAAGCTCACTTCAATGGAGTAAAAAATTTCACTCATGAAAGATGACGTTGGAGCAGTGAGGGTTTTTTTTTTTTTTCTGCAAGACACAACACTCTGCCAGCACTGCTATTTAAAATGGAGGGGAAAAACAGGTCCAGGGAGGCCACGGACACACTGGATGAAGGCTGCCACACTGAAAGCACTACAGATAGTAACATTGATTACTTGTAAGAGTCATTTTATAGGGACTTCAGTTAGCTAAGAACAAAGATGACAGAAGTAACAGGAAAAACAGAAGTAGTGAAATTAGCTGCCTATTTTGCAAGAGGAAACAGTGGGTACAGTGTAACATCAATGAACTCAAATATGCATTTATTCCTGGCACCGCATCCCTAAAACATTACACGCCTTTCTGTAAAATTTGGCATCCTCCAGCCCCTTCATATTTTTGTAAACTACTCTGCTACTTCAATCTTGAGTCTTCACAAAACTCAGACACATGTAGCAGTCTCTAGGGCTGGTCACAACTAAACATTCTTTAGAGAAAAGTGCAAAGCAAAAACTCAGTATTTAAATTTACTAAAACGGTGACAAACTTTTCAGCTTAGGGTCCTCTATCATGCTAAGCACTGAAGAAACATGGAAAAATTCTGCACCATGGAGCTTTCTGCTTATTTACGACCCAAACCAGGCAGACAACACAACGTATAGCTACTCCTCTCAAACAGGATCTGGAAAACCAACTGTGCTGCTCATGTATACGACAAAAACTTGTTTGTTTTATTGTATTGGTCTTAAATAGGTATCTATATGATTCTGAATCATTTACAGACACTGCTTTTGACCTCAAACTTAGCAGTCGGCTATGAAAGAGGAAGTAGATTCATCGAGCAGAGCTAAGGGCGCAGCACATTGCAAAACATATCCAGCATCTCATCTACCTCATAACCCACCAGGGGTGAGAAGGCAACCTCACCGAGACGAGGAGGTCCCCCTCAGAACCTCTGCCTAGCGCCTTGAGTCCTCTGCAATAGGATGTCTCGCCTAACGTGTAGATATTTATACTATGGATGACTAATCTGAATTAGTCACCCAGACTCCCTTTGCAGTAGGAGAGAAATGAGCACTTCTACAGCAAAACTCTGCTCTATTTTAGACTTCTGCATCAAAAGAAAATAAGCATCTGTTTCTCGCCATTGACTAAAAAAGGAATCCTAAATGGTTACCTCAGAAGTAGGCATTTACATCATAGATGTGTGAACTTCGGTGAGAGGTCTCCAGCCCCTTGAAAGGGAAGGCAGAGTCTGAAACACAATGTTAGGAGGGGAAAAAGAAAAAAGGTTTAGAAAGTCATGGAAGAAAATCAAAAAGATAAAAGAAAATTTAGGATATACCATGGATAATGTAATGCTAAAAAGTAATATAGTAAAGGACTGGGGGAATGCAGAAATAGTAAAAAACCTGAGCACTAAGAGAAACGATCTTCTATATTTTAAAAACAAAAAAAGGGTAACATGCAGTAGAACTAAGTTGAAATCCAGCACTTAGTATTTTCTAATTTGTTAAAGAGAATGCTGATTGAGCATCTGTTCAGCATTATTCAGGTACTTTGGCTCAGAGGCTGAGGTCCTGGGACTCTGAGGATGAACTGGATATTCTATTCGCTAGGCTTAGTCTAACACAGAATCACGGCTTTCGTTAAGACAGTTGCAGCCCTGCTATTCCCAACCCCTTCATACTTAAACTGCCCGGCAAACGTCCCAGCAGCAGTGCTCATCTGTTCCTACCACGCCCGTTAGGTAAAATAAACCAGCAGAAAATGAGCAGGGGAAGGGGGGTAGTCTTCCCACAGACCGGCTCCCTGTAAGCATGCGAGCAGCACCAACGCAGAGGGACAAAACCAGGAACGTGCTGCACCCCAAACTCGAGATTAGTTAAACTGAACCACACCCTATTTAAATCCAGACGGGGAGAGACCTGCTCTTTTTACTCTTCGCCTTCCTGGGTCACACGCTCCTGCATCCTCCCTTGTGTCAGCGCTGTTTATGCAACTCCCATTCGAGCTGGTTGAGGGAGCTGATCCAGCTGAAAACTGCTCCCTCCACGCAGGGCTTGCGCTCAGCCCGCTCAGCCCCCCGAGGCGCCGACCACACCAACACTAATGCCAACACACGGCAACCTGGACTCGGGCCCGCTGCTGTCGCGGTGGAACTGCGCCCTTCGTTCTCTGGCCCAGGCAGATGGGATACAGCTTTCAACCTGTTAGTTTACAGTCTCAATTATCCTTCTAAAAAACAGAAATCCGTCCTGACATGAAAGTATTATGTTAAATGACATACCAGCAGATCTTCTGAAGCAAGAAAATGAAAAGTAAATAGCTAAAGAAACACAACCTTTCTCATCCCACCCAGCTGCATGTGAAAGTAAGAAGCTGAGACAATCCATAAGTTTTGCAAGACAGTGAGGAATGAAAAGAAAGGAAGAAATTGGTACATGGAAGTGAATCCAAGTCGCTTCTCACAAAATGTCAAGGCACAGCCCTTCACGCATTTTCTCAGCTAACATAATTAAATCTACCATAGAAAAATCAAAGACAAAACTGAAACTGAAGTATCTTGTGTTCTATTTCCTTCTTCCTTCCTGTAGGTTGCAGCAAGAAAAACCATCTCCACTACTGCAGTCTTTGCATTTTTTTTGCCTTTCTCTCAACAAGCAGTGCCAGCCTCTGCTTTTCTGCTATTGCTCCTAATTCTGCCAAACAAAATCAGAATCAAAGTGACTTAATAGTTATCAGTGTCACTGCAGGCCACAATGCTCTGAATAGCAGCAAACTGCAGAACTGAAATAAAATTAAAAAAAAAAAAAAGACAACTAGCACAGGCGCACTGGAAAGAACAGCAGAGACATTTGCCAACTGAGCACAAACCCTGAATTCAAGTCATCAATATGTTTGGACAGTTCTTTGCAAACCATGCAGCTTGCCCACCATGCCACCTACCAAACAAAAGCTGGTGAAAGTTTCTTATTTAGTCTAGGTAAGGAAACAGTTCTGAGTTCTGCCTGTTTAGCTCAAATAACTTCTTGAACTTTGCTATTTAACCATAATGTTATTTTCTCACGCCTTCCGGTTTCCCCCTCTGTCCAGATAAGATTGTGTCCTCACGCACAGGACACCGAGACAACAGTAAGAAATTCAGTATTTGCAACGCAGTGACATCCTGAGGCGCCGCTGCAGGGCCGGGCTGGGCCGCCCCGGCACCAAGCACGCACCACACACCCCTACGGCTCAGCCACTGCCCCGGAGTGCGGGCAGCTCCGGCACAGAAGGAGAACACAGGTAGACACAACCAAAGAGAAACTGAGGGGGAGAATTAGTAGCAGTCACCATTCAAGAGCTGCAGAGCTTCCATGCTCAGGCTAATGATTTTAACTTCCTTCTTTTGACATGACGCCCTCCTAAACTAGCTTGTCCTTATTTTGCTGACAACCCCCTTTCCAAAGCTCAGTGCCACATGGTGTTTAGTTTGAAGCGACCCCTGCCAAAGATGCCAATTTTAGTTAGGCCTTAGGCACTGCTATGTAGTCATTTATTATTGTAGCTACTCGCTCTGTCTCGGCTTTATCTAGAACTAAATGGCATTAATAAGCAAAAAGAGAGAACGTCACTTAATTCAGCCAGTGATGTCAAACTTCAAACTTCCCATTTGCAGACCAGATCCCAACGCCGTGTATGTGATGCGTGTGGCATTCAAATTCCACAAAAATCTGAGCTTCTTTTAGGCGGAGATTTTTAACCTTGGCTATGAAAGCCTCATTTCCCAAGATAACTAATATTTATTTGCCAGAGTTTACCGCCATACCAGAGTTAACACACAGGTAAAAATAGCCAAGGCATGTAATAGTAATGTCAATATTGGTTATTGCACTGCTGACTGCTTTAGCAGATCAAAACAAGGAGCAGAGAAAGTCCATCACAGGGGGAGGGGAGGATGGTGGGAGGCGTAAAGACAGGGAGAGGGAAAGAGAAAAGCACAATTAAAGAAACAAGCACCCTAGAAACCTAGCAGCGGACAGAAAAGACAACATACTTTTGCTTCTAATAATATTGAATCAAAGAAGACACTTAAGTTCCTTTGTTGCTACTATTGGTCACACAGAGGCCACATTCTTTCCCTGATCCTTATATAAACCCACTGACATCTGTAGATTTTCCGTGAAAAGGAGGTAACAAACAGTCAAAGCGATTCCCCAGCCCATAAAACATAATTAAGAACAGAACTGTGTTACCCTATAAATAGGGCTAAGAGTAAAAGACTGCTGCTCTGAACCGTGGCTCCATATTTGACTGCTCAGATGGAGAGCTGACATCATTCATTAATACAGTCTATTAACTCTGCTCTCCTCAATTAGTTTCTCAATAATTCTCCGTCTAGCAAAACAACAAGACCTCCCACAAATAGTCCTCCCTATAAAGTTCTCAACAGTTCTGTCAACCACCCGGCTCCTGCTCTGCTCTCAACTCGCTGACCTCCCCTGTCTCTCCTGTGCCATTTACACCCAAGGTTCCCAGTTATTCTTGTCATTCCACTATTGTTTCAGAAACATTTACTATAACAAGATGCTCTTCTATTTCTTGGCATTCCAGTTCTCCCATTTTTATGGCTGAGCCTATTAGACTGTTCTAGCTATTGCCCTTCAGGCACTAACACTTCAGACTCCAAGCCACTGTGTTAAGAAAACATACTACTTGATTATGTACATGCAGTCATTTTCCCTAAAATATAATCTACAGCTTTTACACTTAACACTTCTATGCACCTTATTATCAGAAACACAGAGTTGGAGAGAGCAACCTGTTCGCTTTGCCCTGAGCTCTCCTCAAACGTAACACCTTCCTTTGCAGAAATTCTTCTGTCCCACTGATGCCTGACAACCTCAGGGAGGGAAACGGTTTGAGTTTCCCTCTGACACCTTAGCTGATAGCCAGTAAAATTCATTAGGGGACACAAATGAAGTGTTTTCCCTCCAAAGAGGAGGGAAAAACACCACCAGCTATCCCAGGGATACCTCCCCACCAAAGAGGAGGGAAGCATAACTAAAGGATTCCTCCTTCTAGCTCAGGATTGCACTATCCGGGGACAGGGAGAATTTAATTCACTCCAGCTGACTCCCAGTCCAACCAGCAAACTGTGAGTCAAGGGTGGGGGGGAGCCCCACGGAGCAGCTCCGCTGGCACCCCTCTGCGGGAGGGGGGCTGCAGGGCTCCAGCCTTCCCCCACAGGCAAGCACTGCAAAACAGGCTGTGCCGCTCGTGACAGCAGCCTGGAGCTTTCTAAAAATAATTTAAGCCCACAGACTGAGGATGCTTGCTTACCAGGAAAAAAAAAAAAAAAGCCTAAAACATAAGCTCTTCGTTTTCTCTGTTATTAATTTTTGACAGTCTCCAGTTTTTGAACTCTGAACTTGGAAATTCAACCTGTCCCTCCCACAACACAACCACGACTGAATTCACTGAATACCGGGTTCAGAAGGCGGATGCTTCAGAGCTCCCTGCCAGCCCCAGCACAAACGCTCGACATCAGTCGCGCTCTCACGGCCTGAGGTTTGCAGGAACCTCCCAAAACCTCAGCGCCGTTTTCTGCACCACCTGTCTGAAACCATTCTGCTACATACCCAGCTCTTCCCTGAGAGCTGCTGCAGCACCACACATTTTCCACGATTTCTAGAGAGGACATTGTCCTAGGTCCCTGGATTTGCAGCGTAATACAAAGTACAAAAGTCACCAGAAACGTCTGCGTATCAAACACGTAAAAAACAAAGACTTCAACTTCAAGCCATTTTGTTTTTATCCAATCCCCAGTTATCCTCTCCTGAGCAAATGTTTACTGGTATCGCTCAAACCAGTACAGATCATTATGTGTTCCTATTGCACGTTCCAAAATTTAACTTTGCTTACCATGATATCACCATCGGTTGCTATGGAAATTGCTATACTACCATCCACCAGATTTTTCTTACTGCTGAAGTATTTTGGCAGACTGTTTGCTCTTAAGTGTCAAAGTAATAAGAGAAATCATAAATGTTTATTCTCCCATCCTTAAAAAGGTGTTTTATAACAAAAATCTGCTGGGAAGTGATTACATGCTTGGCTTCAAACATGCGTAGCTTTGGACAGGACTGGAATCAGAACTTTCTCCTTTGTTTTTTTGAGAGAGAAAGTAGATTATAAAAACAGGTTTCAGTTTTTTAAATATTAATTTTTAAGTGGAAAATCAAGATACGAAAAATAACGCAGGGCCTTCCA